ACCTGTGGGTCTCGACCCCTTTGGGGGTCGAACGACCCTTTCACAGGGGTCGCCTAAGACCATCGGAAAACACATATATAAGTACATATTGTTTTTGTGATTAATCACTATGCTTTAATTATGTTCAATTTGTAACAATGAAAATATATCCTGCATATCAGATATTTACATTACGATCCATAACAGTAGCAAAATTACAGTTATGAAGTAGCAACAAAATAATTTTATGGTTGGGGGTCACCACAACATGAGGAACTATATTAAAGGGTCGTGGTATTAGGAAGGTTGAGAACCACTGCCTTAGGTGGTTCTAACCAAGGCAGCACACAGGCCAGGAAGTCTGCTCTGCCAGGGAGCAGCTCCAGGCCAAGCACACCCTCTTCCCTTATCCTTGACTTAGAAAAACAAAGGCAATAGGCAAATCCACTTGTCAGCGTTTCTGAAGCCAGCTGTTAACCTATCCTCTTCCTGCCCCTCTTTCTTTTCTTCCTTTTTTCAGAAAAACCTGGAAAGCTCGGCAAAACTTTGCAAAATGCTGTACTAGCTCTGGCTGCCTTCTATTTATTTTTCTCTTTTGGCCTGTGTCATCCTCTCAGGCAAGGACCGCAGTCTGACTTCCTGCCAGCTCGCCTGCTGGGTTCATTAGAGTGTCTTTAAAAAAAAAAAATCTGTATTTTCCTAAGACTACAAACCTCAAGGTAGAGGTAATTTTTTTTTCAACTTCCTACCCAAAGTAGGACATCCCAGTTGTACAATTTAGCAGAGTATTTGGTTTTAAAACACAATCCCGTGGTTTCACTTTGTCCATCCAATCAACTTGGGACTGACAGCTCTCATAAAATATCTGCTCTGGCTAAGAATTCCACAAAGCAGGTCTATTTATGTGTGAAGTCTAGCAGCACAGAAAGCCCCAGTAAATTTCCATTTAGTAATTCAGTGACTGTTAATAGACACCTATTATGTATCCATGGCCATCTGAGGCCCTGTGCTGGGTACTGAAACAAACATGAGACCCAGATCCTGCTCCCAACCCCTAACAATCCTATTAGGATACCTTCAGCTCATAAATGTCTCTGGACTCGTTTTGTTCTTTAAATCCATTTGCAAGGTATCAACTACATCACTCACTAAATTATGAACATTTTCATGATTAGCTGTGTCAGAAATATGATTTATAGGAATGGCTTTCTCCCTTTTTTTAAGGTTTCGGGAATAATTTTTATATTGCAAACATTATAGCCATGGTTCAAACTCTAGATAACGTAATCCACATAAGATTCACTAACCTTTCGGGGTGTTAATAACAGTGTCATAGCTTTCAGCTCTCATTAGTTACAACTCCTTGGCTAATGTGCAGGAAATTTAAGATGTATGCCAAGTGTGTTCAATGAAAGGTTTTGTGCAAATCATATGTGAGTCTAAAAGCAAGTCTCTCTCAGCACTGATGAGCTTGGCAGGGATTCAGGTGTCTAACACTGTGCCATATACCTCCCCCGAGAATGCTGGGCTAGAACACAACCATCAGGTGTTGTTAAATTTGCTGGGAACACAGAGCAGAAGGCTGCATGGAGACTGCATGTCCATTCTCTATTACATGTGTACAGTGTCACCAGGAATAATACTACAGGATTCATTCTGTACTGGCTTATTCTCAAAGGAAAACCCCAACCAGGATGAGGATAATGAACATCACAGACTGTAAAAAGCAGCAAGAAGCCATTGCACCACTGTGGCTTCCACATATCCACACAAAACACATCAGCAGGAAGAAGGTGTTATGTTACTCAGGTTTCCTCTCAGGACATCCTGGCTTGAAACACAGTTCTGCCACTAATATAAATGACAGATGGGAAACGGCCAGAGCATGTCCTTGAAAATCTCAGGAATCCATCAGCTTGCAAAGGAGAGTTCAAAAGATGGCATGAAAATTACCCATTCCCATTAATGACAGGTCACTTTTTTTTCCTAGGTGAAGAGAAACATTGGAACCTATGGGCCTGGTGGCCAAAACCGGTTTTGCTCAGTGGATAGAGCGTCGGCCTGCGGACTGAAAGGTCCCAGGTTCGATTCCGGTCAAGGGCATGTACCTGGGTTGCGGGCATGTCCCCAATGGGAGATGTGCAGGAGGCAACTGATCGATGTTTCTCTCTCATCGATGTTTCTAACTCTCTATCTCTCTCCCTTCCTCTCTGTAAAAGATCAATAAAATATATTAAAAAAAAAAAATGGGAGAAAAAAACACTGAGCATATCCTCTCTACTTCCCACCCCCTCGTTTTACCTTATCTCCAGAGCATATTTGACATACTATATAGTTTTTCCTCCCTCTATCCTTCTTTCCTTTCTTAGTCTTTCTCTCCTCACTAAAATGTAAACTTTTGAAGATAGGGCTTTTGTTTTGTTCATTACTGTATCCTCAGGACCCAGCTCAGTGCCTGGCATATAGTATATACTCAATATATATTGAATAAAAAAATTGTTGACTGAACAGTTGATTTTTCCTTCCTTTTCTCTGGGGCCTACCACTTCTCTCTTGCTATAACGTTTTTCCTTTGGCTTAACAGCTAAGAGATCAGATGACCATATATTTTACATCATCTCTAGAGGGGAACTTCACTGTAGTGGCAGGGGGTATTTCTTCTCCACCTCTGACATCTCTACCTACTAAAATCGTATCTATTTGGCAAATCTTACCCTTCCTCCCTGTGGCACCATCCTTTAGTTTTCCCTGGTAATCTCACAGGAAGGTTAACATTAATACAAGGGTAGTATTACCTTGGCAAAACTGGGTTCCTGCCTCTGCTCCCCCTTCTTCTACCCGTGGATGAAAAACGGATGTGGTAATAAGCCATAAATTCCTAACTGGGCAGGTCATGGTGGGTAGTCATGCCCCAGCCTATGGCTTCTTTAGTGAAAGCTTTTTAAGCAAGCCTTGCCCAGTGTTCTTATACATCTAGATTAACACACCTTTGAGATGCCATAAGTAATACTCCTCAAGACATAACCACCCTTAAGAAAGCACATAATATCCTAATCCAATGCGTTTTGCTTTCTCCCATGCTCACAGTCTTCCTTACATTCTCTTTAATTTGTTGTTGTTTTTATAGTCATTTTTATTCATATATATTTATATATGAATATATGTATATGTATATATTTTTTTATTGTCTAAAGTTTTACATGTCTTTTCCCCAGTTGACCCCCACCCCCAGCCATTCCCATCCCAGGCAAGCCCCCACTGCCCCAGTGTCTGTGTCCATTGGTTATGCTAATATGCCCTCTTTAATTTTAAATGCATAAAAGAGGTGCAAAACTATTATTCTTTGGAGCATCTGAGATCTTGCTCCCCAGCACATGTCATCAATTTGACTCAAACAAACTCATAAAAACTCTCTGCAGGTTTGGATGTTTCTTATGGTGATAGCTCTTTCTTGAGCTTTAAATGCTGCCCTGGATGTGTCACTTAACCTAGTTTTGCCTTGATAAAAATGTCAGGAGTGGCCAAAAGCATGGGAACATGAGGGAAGCCTTCACTTATAGCCTCTAGGATGGTCCTCAGCATCTAATACTCTTGGGAAGGGCTGACTAGGTGGACTCGAACTTTACTATGGCCTCCAAGAGCACTACCATATCCTTGCTGAGGCTGTTATTTTACCTGCTGAACCACAATGTCCTCCTCTGTATAGAGAGATAATTCCACCTAGCTCACAGGACTAGATGTGGGAATCAAATGAGATAACTTGAGTGAAACACCTAATACTGGCCTTGACACCTCTAAATAAGCACTTTGTAATGCATACATGAACGTTTTTCCTACCAGGAGATAGCCTTCTGTTTACTCTGTTAGAACAACTTCATCTAGCAGCTGGCGGCTAGCTTCTCCCCAGGAAATACGACTTGGCCATAGCAATGTAATCTGAGGTGCAAGATTCTGGGAAAGGGCAGCAAGAGGAGAGGCAGCTGAAGGGTGCCCCACGGCAGTGTGTGCCCTGGACTGGGCTCCCAGCCAGAAATGTACCGTTAGTGTCACAGGTGCGGGGGCCCAGAGAGAATTCCAGGCATAACCCCTCCCTAAACTCGGAGCAGGCTCAGGTTCAGTCCATCAGGTTATGGATGAGCCATCTGCCACCTTTTCTTCCAAAGCCACTGAGCTGGTGGTGGAAAATTCGATTAACAACCACTACCTGGAGCCACACGAAGTCATTTGTTTTAAGGATTACTCAGGGATGAACGCTACTGCAAACCGGCTCTAAGGACCTAGCAGGAAAAAGTGGAAAAGTAATTTTTGTGTTTTTGACAGACCCCCTACCGTGTGCTAAGCACGGACTAATCAACCCGTGAAGTGAACGCTACTCTCTGTATTTTAAAGGAGAAAACCGGAGCTCAGAAATACTGGCTGGCCGCTCGAGGAGGCCAGTAAGCGGTGGGCCCGGGGGTCAAACCCGGCTTCCTCCCAGCGACACGTGCTTGCTTTTCCCCACTCGGCAGCGCCCGGCGGAGCGCCCGGCCACCACTAGGGCGGCGGGAGGATGACGTCAGCCGCGGCAGGGCGGGGCTTGGGCCCGGAGCGCGGCGACTCCGCCCGGCGGGCCGCGCGGCCTGGAAAATGGGGCGGGCGCGGCGTGGCCTCCGCCTCACGTGCGCCGAGGCCACGCCGCTGTCCCCGAGGGCCTGCGGGTTACACTCCAGGGCTGGTCCCACCCGCGTGAGGGCGCGGTCGCCGAGGGCGCCAGAAGTCGGTGCCCAGCCCCAAAGCGGGTCTAAAGGCGAGCCTGGGGGCGGCCCGGCCGGCAAACGACCTCGGGAGAGCCGATAGCCTCGCTGCCGGCGCCCCTCCCCGCCGAGAACCGCCTCGTCAGCACCTTCCCGCAGCTGGGCCCGGGCTCGGCCCCACGGTGGGTCACGAGGCGGGCCGAGGAGCGGGCGCAGCCCGGCCAGGCCCAGCGGGGTCCTGCGCGCCACACTGCCCCCTCCTTTCTCCTCCCCGCGTGCGCCACGTACCCGGCCCCGCCCCGCGAGCCGTGCGGGGAACCCCAGTGTCGTCACCACTCTAGCACTCGCCTTCCCGCGCTCTCCAGAAAAGACGCGAAGGTGGGGACGTGTCGGGGGAACCGGTGCGGCTGCGCCGAAGCCTCGACAACAGAACGTCCAGCGGCGCCGCCTGGTGGAGGAAGAGCGGTCACGCTGGCCGGGAGCGGCGGCGCACGCGAGAGGACGTGACTGACGTCATCTCGCGGAGGCGCGGGGCGAGAGCCGCGTGACCACCTCCGAGCCGCGGCGGTCCCGTCCGTTTTTCCTCCTTTCAGTAGCGTAGGGAAGCTCGGTTTGTATGCCCCTTCTTTTGTGGTTGTAACCCTGCCATTTTTCGAATTTACAAAAGTAAGTGTTCATTATAGGAAATTTGGGAGATGAAGAAAATGAATACCAGCACCTCTCCCTTCATATTTACTTTTTTTCTTTTGCGTTAAACAAAATTGTGATCTTACTGTATAACAGTGGTATTAAGTACAAAAATATTCTCAAGGATTGCCCTACCTGGTTTGGCTCAATGGATAGAGCTGGCTTGCAGACTGAAGTTTGATTCCAGTTAAGGGTTGAGGCAGCCAATCAATGATTCATTCTTATCATTGATGTTCCCATCTCCCTCTCCATTCCTCTCTGAAATCAATAAAAATATATTTTTTAAAATAATTCTCAAGGATGGACAAAGCACCATTAGAGCCTATAGGCTAAGTTAGAAAAACACGATAGAGAGGAAGGAGTGCAAATAATAGGCGGAAGTGTAATGGTTACTTATTTAATGAGCGTTTTTCAATCATTGTCCTGTTTACTATGCACATGATCCAGGTGAGAAAAAGGGCTCAGAGGGTTAATCAGGTGGCATAGTGGGGGTTTGAACCCAGGGCTTCAAATCTGAAATTTTAGGATGGTGAGTTCCTAGGAAGGACAAATGGAAAACGTGTGCTGGGGAGAAGGCAGAAAAACCACAGGGAAGTTAATATGGTTATATACCCACTGTCTACCTCTGGGGCTGTGGAGTTAGAACTAGATTGGAGGAGCAAGACTAGTGCCTCCATCAGGAGGGGCAACTTTGTGGGAGCATGCCACAAAGCAGCTCACACTAACACACTGCCTTGAAACATATAGCCATGTGCTAGCTAGCAGCAACTATTTGGGGCCATTGACCTCCAGCCCTGCCCCCATTAGTGGCAATGAAAGGTGGTCAGGCATTAAGTCTTTTTTTAAAAAATATATTTTATTGAGTTTTTACAGAGAGGAAGGGAGAGGGATAGAGAGCTAGAAACATCAGGATGAGAGAGAAACATCCATCAGCTGATCTCCTGCACACCTCCCACTGGGGATGTGCCCACAACCAAGGTGCATGCCCTTGACTGGAATCAAACCTGGGACCTTTCGGTCCGAAGGCCGACGCTCTATCTACTGAGCCAAACCAGTTAGGGCAAGTCTTTCTACTCAAAGTGCAGTCTGTAGTCTAGCAGCATCTCTACAGTTCAGTACTTTCTGCATCCAGCTTGATGATACAAATAGAGAACCTTGGACCCCACTCTAGAACTTCTGAATCAGAATATGTATTCTCACTAAATTCCTGGGTGATTCCTATGCACATTAAAGCATTGTTGTAAAACAAGTCATTCTATTCCCTTGGTGAGGCAGGTGGGATGGTAATAAGATCTGGAGGATGGGAAGGCAGGCAGACAGGAAACAAAGTCTGGAAGAAGATTTAACAAGAATATCAAATTAGGAGTATCAGAAAATACCACAAGATGCAAAGGAGGAAAACCAGGAGATCAGAATCTGGGAGAAAAAAAGAGAAATAGGTTGGAGTACGCAGGTCCATTTTGGGAAAATTCACCAAACACAAGAGCTGTTCTGTGTGTGTGTGTCTGTGTCTTATGATTGAGAGGGTCTAGTTCACTCAGAGGACTAGAGGAGGACAGCCCCTGCCCATTTCCTCACTTTTAGCAGAAAGAGAGGTCTTTCCTTGGGTTCTAGTGGAGGAAAGTTCTGGGCTCTTTCTGACATAGAACCTGGCACTGACAGAACAGTGCTGGGTTCTCCTATCATATACACAGTTTGCAATCTGTTAAATAGCCAGGGCAGGGGGCTTGTGTGTGTGATGTGTGTGCATGTGTATGTATGTACATGTAGGCTAGAGGAAAGGGCAGGTTATTGGCAGACATAGAAATCAGTGAAAGATGGAGTGGACTTATGTGACTGGGAATTGCTGGGCCCAGAAGGCTATAGGGCTAATGACATCCGATACCTTGAGAGAGCCAGGTGGCAGGCCTGTAGTTCTTGGAGTCAGATTTTCTGGAGGTCTCCTGCCTATCATTCCTCTAAATACTAGCAAGCAGTTCTGATAAGACACAGGGACATGACAGGTTAGAACCAAAACGTTCTGGGTGGAGTAGCAAGTTGTTGTCATTATGCCCACAATGTTAGAGGCCCAATGTTGTCTGGAGGAGCAGTTAAGGCAGCATCCCTCTCAGACCCAATAATACACTCAGTCTGAGTATGATCAGGCTGTGCAATAGACAGGTGGCTGTGCAGACATGGAAGATTTTGAGCTATTCACTCCAGAATATAAATGGTGGCTGCAGTGTTGAAAGGCAGCAGATGGGCAGTCTGTAGAGATGGCAGATTCCAATGACTATGAAAGAGGTGTGCAGCCCTAACCGGTTTGGCTCAGTGGATAGAGCGTCGGCCTGTGAACTGAAGGGTCCCAGGTTCGATTCCAGTCAAGGGCATGTACCTTGGTTGCGGGCGTATTCCCAGTGAGGGGTGTGCAGGAGGCAGCTGATTGATGTTTCTCATCTTGATGTTTCTAACTCCCTATCCCTCCCCCTTCCTCTCTGTAAAAAATCAATAATATATATATATTTTTAAAAAGAGGTGTGCAAATGGATGGTATAGATGCGAGTGTGGATGGATGGGAAAGCAGTTGGCTGCAAGGTTTGAAGAGCACTGTTCTGATAGAGTATGGGGTGAGTCTGAAGGAAGGTCAATGCTGGTAGTGTCCCAGAGGTACTAGACAGAGTGGGTGCAGAGGTCCTACTGGTACTCCTGATGGAAAGGGTGTCAAGTTAGAAAAAGTGGTCAATGTAACTGAACCCTATTCCAGATATTGATGGGCTGAGGTGATCTTGAGTGAAGACCTTAGCACTTGAATGGGGGCCTCTTTGGGTGGATAATTTGCCTCAGCCATGTATTTTATGGCCTCTGTGGTTCTCCTGAGTCAGTCAAGTATTGCTAGACCCAGGCATTTGCCTGTCATTCAAGTCTATCATATACACAGTTTGCAATCTTGGTCAAAAGGCTGTGATCAATGTCCTCAAAGTTATCATGTTGAAAGAGTTCTCAGAATGGGCCAACCACCATATTTCTTTGAGTGTTCTTGCTTTTCAGGTAGCCTTTCTGCCTAACCTAGTTTTTAATTTCTCCTCTTCTCCACACACCTATCCACCTTTCCTCTCCTTAAAGCCCAGTGCAAGTTCTAAGTTCTCTGTGGACTTCCCTGGATTCTCAAGGATTTACCCTACTGTTTGAAACACTTGGGAGCTCTCCACATAAGCCTGGTCCTCAATCATACAAGCTAGACAACAGTTAATTTGCCTACCTATCCCCCTCTTTTAGGGGCACAGCTACCCGCTTTACCAAAAATTCTCACCTCCCACCCTGGCCAGGGTGGGTCAGTGGTTAGAGTGCTGGCCTGTGCACCGAAGGGTCATGGGTTCAATTCCTGGTCAAGGGCATGTACCTGGGTTGCAGGTTTGATCCTGTGTTCCAGAGGCAACCAAGTGATGTGCCTCCCTCACATTGATGCTTCTCTCTCTCTCTTTATCTCTCTCTCCCCCTCCCACCATCCCTTCCACTCTCTCTAAAAATCAATAGAAAAAAAAAATCCTAGGGTGAGGATTACAAAAAAAAAAGCTACCTCCCACCACCCCTCAAAATCAGGCCAACTCCATTTCTTGGGTGGTTTTGCCCTTTGGATCAGGGAGAGTAGAGCAGTCAGTCCTGCTCTAACATTAAAGCCATACTTTCAGGCATGTCAGGAGACAGAATCCTACCAGAAGCTCCAGTAGGGACAAAGATGGGTCAGATGGAGCCTGGCTCAGAAGCCTACCTATACCCCAGTTGGTTGTCTGGCCCTATTTTAGTGTCTATGAACTAGTCAGTCAGTCCTATTTTTGCCTAAACTGATGAGAGTTGGGTTTTTGTTATTTGAAATCAAAAGAAAACCAAGAGACTACTTCATATGGATTTTTCTTGTTTTCCCAAGGTCAATGAATTATAAGGAATAGATACAAAGGAATGTGATAAATTGTGGAAATAATATGTACTTTGGAGTAAAACGAAACATTATTTTTAATGCCGTTTCAAGCAAGATACTTAACCTCAGAGAGGCTGTTCCTTTAATTTTATAAAAGAAGGGGTAAATACCTAAAACTCAAAGGATAATGAAGACTAAATGAGAAAAGTACTTCGGCAGGAATGCAAATAAAAGTACCTGGCACATAGTAGTTATATAGGAAATGTTCATTCCCTTTTCTCCTTGAAAACAGGCTTCCACCTCTGTGTCTTTCATGTCTCCATTCTGTGGTCAATGAACTCAGAAGTAGGAAATGAATTTTACCAGTTGTTACACTTTTTCAAGAAGAAAGAAGGAAATAAATACAAGCATTAGTTTGACTTGTCAATATTCCCTTGATATCTGGACATCTTTTTCCTATTTCACCGTAATCTAAATTCATCCCAAAGGTTCATAATTTTAAAATCAGGCCAACATGAGGTATAATTTAGAAAAACTAATGACACTGTGCTTTATTTGGTAACAGAATAAAAGGGCATGGCGGGAGCTCTGCCAGAATGGTCCCTAACATTCTTCCGAACCAGGATGTTATTAACGTTTCAACATTGTTAGTGTAAGGTGGAGTGTTGCTAACTACTTCAAAGGTTGAGACAAACTATAAAGGTGAATCCTTTAAGAAGGAAAATGAGCTAGTTTTCTTTTTGTTCCTTTAAACACACTAGCCAGAAATACCACCCCATCTATAATGAGGACTATACACAGCAGCACCAAAAAGGCCATTTACAGAGTTTTTCTTCAATAGAATCCACTTGGATGTATTAAGAAATTCCATCTTAGTTAAAAGCAGTTCACGAAGGACCTAACTGGTATTTAAACTTGTCAAGGCATGGGGACGTGCAAATTCAGCAGCAAAAGACTCCATTGTTTTGCCTCAAGGGAAAGTGATGGTGGTCAGAGGGGCCAGTTCCAAGGGCTGGTCCAGGGGGGGACGTTGGTCTTGGTACTCTGCCACATGCCCATTTCGGTGGTGACCATACTCAAACTTGATCCGCAGCTCGCCAATCTTGGACTGGGGAAGGATATCTGGGATCCACTCAATGATGAAAGGGGTTGGCTCCTTTTGATCTGGGGAAGTGTTGCCTGAAGACAAAGAAAGACCAAGAAAGGAACACTGATTAGTACAATTCCAAATTTTAACTCTACCAGGGGTGGGCAAACTTTTTGACTCAAGGGCCACAATGGGTTCTTAAACTGGACCGGGGGGCCGGAACAAAAGCATGGATGGAGTGTTTGTGTGAACTAATATAAATTAAAAGTAAACATCATTATATAAAAGGGTACGGTCTTTTTTTTTTAGTTTTATTCATTTCAAACGGGCCGGATCCAGCCCGCGGGCCGTAGTTTGCCCACGGCTGGTCTAGACAGATCTCACTCTGTTCGGGAATAAAAAAGGAAAAGAAAAATTAGCTTTAAAAAAAGCTATATGAGAAAAAATAACAAGGAAAACAACAAGAATCAAGGGAAAGTAAGAGGAATTACTGTATCTATTCAAAGGAAAATTTCAGGGAACTGTGTGGCATCCTTGAATAAAATAAGACCGAGACGTAAGAAAAAGGGCCAAAAGAATCATAAGGCGAGCCCAGACTGAGAGGAAAGGACAGCTGGATGAGATTAAAAGGGAGACTAGTAAAAAATAGTCCTGGCAGGGTGGTTTAGTTGGAGCATTGTCCCATACACCAAAAGGTGGTGAGTTCAATTCCTGGTTGGGGTGTGTACAAGAGGCAACTCTCTCCCTTACTCTCTCTAAAATCAAATTTTAAAAAAGCCCAACCAGCGTAGCTCAGTGGTTGAGAGTCAACCTATGAACCAGGAGGTCACAGTTGGATTCCCGGTCAGGGCATATATCCAGGTGGGCTCAACACATGTGGGGCCTGCAGGAGGCAGCCGATCAATAATTCTCTCTCATCACTGATGTTTCTATCTCTCCCTCTCCCTTCCTCTCTGAAAATCAATTAAAAATATATATATAGCCCTAACCGGTTTGGCTCAGTGGGTAGAGCATCGGCCTGCAGAATCAAGGGTCCCAGGTTCAATTCCGGTTAAGGGCATGTACCGTGGCTGCGGGCACATCCCCAGTGGGGGGCGTGCAGGAGGCAGCTGATCGATGTTTCTAACTCTCTATCCCTCTTCCTTCCTCTCTGTAGAAAATCATTAAAATACATTAAAAAAAAAAATATATATATATATATATATAGCCATTACACTTTGAACTTCCCATTTTCTCCAATGAACTCACTGTTTATAACAATCTCCTTTAAACAGACCCCTTTCCTCTATAAAAGAACCTCCGTTTTGTTCTCTGGACTTGCACATGGTTTGCAGGTCCTGAACTGCAATACTTTGCTGTTTCCAAATAAACCCATTTTGCTGGAGAAATATCTGACTTTAAGGTTGATACCTTAAAAGAAAATAAAAAAATATTTTTAAAAAAGACTTAATTACATGATTCATTTTAAAGCTATGTAAGACTTTATATTAAATAAGTAACATCTCTACTAGCTCAAATTCATATAGTCGATTAGTGATAATTATGGGCTCTTTGTCTATTTTTAAAAATATATATTTTTATTGATTTCAGAGAGGAAGGGAGAGACAGCGAGAGAAAGACAGAAACATCAATGATGAAAAAGAATCATTGATTAGCTGCCTCCTGCACGCCCCACACCGGGGATCAAGCCCGCAAACTGGGCATGTGCCCTGACCGGGAATCGAACTGGTTCACAGGCTGACGCTCAACCACTGAGCCACACTAGCCAAGCTCTTTGTCTATTTTTTAAAAATATATTTTATTGATTTTTTACAGAGAGAATTAGAAACATCGATGAGAGAGAAACATCGATCAGCTGCCTCCTGCACACTCCCTACTGGGTATGTGCCCGCAACCAAGGTACATGCCCTTGACCAGAATTGAACCTGGGACCCTTGAGTCCACAGGCCGACGCTCTATCCATTGAGCCAAACCGGTTAGGGCTCGTTGTCTATTTTTAATAAAATAATTTATTTTTGTATTATATTAAATAAAAACATTTTTATAGCCCTGACCGGTTTGGCTCAGTGGATGGAGCGTCGGCCTGTGGACTCAAGGGTCCCAGGTTCGATTCTGGTCAGGGACATGTACCTTGGTTGCAGGCACATACCCAGTGGGGGGTGTGCAGGAGGCAGCTGATCGATGTTTCTGGTTCTCTGTCCCTCTCCCTTCCTCTCTGTAAAAAATCAATAAAATATATTAAAAAAATTTTTTTTATAGCCCTAACCGGTTTGGCCCAGTGGATAGAGCGTCAACCTGTGGACTGAAGGATCCCGGGTTCGATTCCGGTCAAGGGCACATGCCTGGGTTGTGGGCTCGATCTCCACAGCCAATCAATGATTCTCTCTCATCATTCATGCTTCTATCTCTCTTTCTCTCTTCCTCTTCCTCTCTTTCTGAAATCAATAAAAATATATTTTAAAAAATGTTTTTATAGTACTATACAAATACTATCATATTTGTATAATCTATAATAATAAAGCATAATATGCTAATTAGACTGGACGTCCTTCCGGACGAAGCTGGGGCTGCGAGTGAAGCCCGGGTCCCAGGTGCCTGCTGGCGGCCAGAGGGAAGCCCAGGTTCTGGGTGCCAGAGGGAAGCCGGTGCCAGCAGCCGGGGGAGGAAGGCCTACTCTTGCACGAATTTCATGCATCGGGCCTCTAGTAATTTAATAATAACAACTATAACAAGTAGCACTTAATGAGCACCTACTGTGCCAGGTATTATCTTAAGTGATTTACAATGCATTAATTTAATGCTCAGCAACTCACTAAGAGACAGATTCTGTGATTCCTATTTACAGATGAATAAACTGAGGTAAGGATAGATGAAGTCTTTCTGCTTAGTTACACAACTAGTAAGTAGGTGGACCTGACTTTAACTCCAGGCAGTTTTGGACTTCAGAGCCTACACTTCTAGCCATCTAATACTCACCTCTCTTTCCACTGATTAGACTATCATCTTTTCCAGGACAGTAAACTATGTCACTTTTGTTCATCACTGTACCCCAAGACAGCATAGTGCCTGGTTCATAGTAGGCACTTAATAAAGACTTGTTGAATGAAGAATGAATGAATGAATGCCAGCCATAATTTAAATTACCTTAGTATTACTATCTATCAAGCAGGCCTCATTCATTTACCTAATTGTGTACTTATTCTTTTAGGAGAAATTTAGACATTAGAATTATTTTGTCAAATTCTTGTGACTATATTCCTACATATATACAGGGTGTCCCAAAAATGTATACACACTTTAACAGCTGATAGCTCTATGTTTCTTTCTTTTCAGATTTAGCTGATTGGAATTAATAATTATTCCAAGTGTGTATACATTTTTGGGGGAACACTGTATTTTTAAGGGAAAAGAGGTATGATCCCATGTTTTAGAAACTCTTCATGTACAGAAAAGAGTCTGGAAACTCTTCATGTATAAAAAAGAGTCTGGAAAGGTTGCTGTTTTTGGTGGGTGCGATTACAGGTGGTTATTTTTCTTCTTTATAAAATCTATGATTTCTCTATAATGAATACTTATTACTTCTATAATTTTATTTTTAGAGCCCTGGCTCAAATGAATCAAAATACCCTATCTCATGATTACCTTTACAAGATGAATAAATGTGCCTTCTTTATTTAAGGTCAAGATCCAAAATCTAGGACAATGTGTTGCACATAGTTGACTTTCACAGGAAGATGCACTATTGAAACCACCAATCACTTACCAACTTTGAGAAAAGTTTTTAGTTCCAAGGGTCGTAGCACTGGTTGTTTTTCTATACGACCGTAGGTTTCTGCTATGCTCTCTACTTCCACTTTAGGGCATTTAAACAGCTCATACGTCCCATCCCGGTTCTGGATAAAACTTCGGGTAATTTCCAAGGGCATCTGGACATGGAGACAATACCAAGAAAGGTGAGAAAGAAAAACTTTCAAAATAGACAAATATTTGGATGAGAATAGATTGTTTATGTATTCACTGTTCCTCATTAAGCACATCCAAATTAATTAAAACTTCCCCTTGTATTTTCAACTAAATTCTGTCAACAAATCTGCCTTTGTTTTCCTTATACCATTCATATCTTGGCTTTCCTTTTTTCTCTGTAACTTTAATTTGAACCCCAACATCTTCATGTCTACATGACCACTACTAGCATAGACTTGCTCTAAATTTGTTTTTTTTTCCCTTCCCCTACTTATCTGCTAGAACATTCTCCTAAAAACTCTATTGATAGCACCTACAGCTGACCTCACCATCCTGTGTGCTTCACACCATCCTTGGGACTGAGCCAGACAGAACTTGAACTGAATTTTGTCTTTGCCACTAAACAGCAGGGTGAGCATCTCATAGCCTGTTTCTCATCTGCAAAATACATGAATGAGGTGATACAGGTAAATAACGCCCAACAGATAGAAGCTCAATGATCATTAGCTCTTTTCCCTCACTTGACTTTGCTTTGGGTTGCACACTGCCTCCCTAAACACCACTTATTCCAAGATAGAAGCTGCCTCTGCAATATCTTGCATTTAAGGAAGTTCCTCAAATGTCTTTAGTGCTAACATAGGCCTTTATTCTTCTGAACATAACAGCTACCAAGCAATTTATTCTTCTTCTGAACGTAACAATGTCTTGAAATTAAGCTTCTCTTAACACATCAAATCACATTATCCTGAATTTTCTATAATATTCCATTATTGTAAGAAGGGAAAACCCTCAAATTTTCAGAGTCTGCTGGACAAAAATGTTTTAAAATATCTCATCTTTCCCTTGTGAAAAAGAACACAAACTGAGGGTCATTTCTCTAATGAGAACTAAATTGCAATTTGGGGAGGAGCAATTAATTGTGCTAGGCCCATTAATTTCACAAATAGTGTAGCATCTCAAATTATTTACAAATTTTTTAGTTAATTTAGGGCTCACCATAGATAGTTATTTAATATATAGGAAAAATCATTCCTGCTTTCTGATCCCAAAGGCAAAGAAAAAGAATACTCCAATTTAAGATACCTTTTCAAGCTCTAGGGAATACCCATTAAAATTAAGAGTCAGCACTATAAAGCCATGAATATTTCTGAATAATCTCTTTTTTTAATCTTTTATTTATTAAATTTATTGGGATGACATTGGTCAACATGAACAGGTTTCTGTTGTGGGTTTCTATGTTACATTGAATAATTTCTTAATATGAAAAACAGAATTCTCTTTGGTGTCTGTAACTCAAGGAATTGGTATAAACATACTTCCCAAACTTGCTTCCCTCTCTTCTCCTCTCTGCCCTCCCACTATTGTAGAAATAAACTCTTACCTCAGGGGTATCTAAGATTTGTTTAACTTGCAGGATATTAGTGATATGCCAGGTATACTTGGAAAAGGTTCCCAGTGGCAGGGCATCTTTTCGAACAAAAGCTTCAATGTAAAAAGGGAACAAAATTAGCCTATCCAAACATAGCATTCTCTTTCCCTATTGTTACCCAGTTTCTAGAGATTTCAGTGCAGTATTATTCTTTCCTTATGGAATCTCAGCAAATTCCAAAAAGAAGTTCTAGAGGCAAATATATAATAGGGTTTGACATAAATGTGACAAACCAAGTGATAAAAATTTCTGCTATATGAAGTTTCTGATGCTTCTTTGAGATGCTACTTATTTCTGTTACCTTAGAAACTTGTTTTTTTGTTTGGTAAAGCTACATGCACAGAACTCCATTATAAAACAATTTCTTACACCTCTTACAGATTTAGATATATCATCAGAGGTCAAATTACAGTCCTTAAAATTTTAATTACATGGAGTCTAAGCCTGCTCACATGATTGCCAATCCATTGCCCTACCTGCAGGAATATAAAGGGGTTCCACTGAAAGTCTGCAAAACTAGCTAAGGGATGAGTTAAAATTAATGTATTAGGCCTAAAGTTTAAAATGGAAGAAAGAATCAACCTTGCTTGAAAAGTCAGGAAGACAAGCGTGAAGACAAAGATTTTCATGGCTCTAAACAGTGATTCACAGCTTGCATTATTCAAATACAGAATTAAACTTCAAACAGTCCCACAGTCCCTATTAAATCATCAAGTAACAATTTTAAAAAATATATATTTTTACTGATTTCAGAGAGGAAGGGAGAGGAAGAGAGAGATAGAAACATCAATGATGAGAGCAAATAATTGATTAGCTGCTTCCTGCATGCCCCCTACTAGGGATCAAGCCTAACAACCCAGGCATGTGCCCTGACCAGGGATCAAACCATGACCTCTTGGTTCATAGGTCGACACAACCACTGAACAACACTGGCCAGGCTCATCAAATAACAACTTGTTGAAGAAATAGCATTGATTTCTAGCTGTCATTACTGAGTAATTCTTTCTTCCTCCCTTCTCTCCCTTATTTCCTTTTGCTACCCAATAAGTATGTTGAGATATCTAATAGAAAGATGTTATGTAAAACCAAGAAATAAGTACCAGAATAATGTAATGATAGTGTTCCAAGCCTAAGAATAACTCTAAAATCTTCATCAAAAATTAGGAGTCACAAAAAAATAAGTTTTAGGTGTTTTTGTGTGTGTGTGTTTTTAAATATATATTTTTATTTCCGAGAAGAAGGGAAAGGGAGAGAGAAAAAAAAACATCAATGATAAGAGAATCATTGATCTGCTACCTCCTGCACACCCCCTACTGGGGATTGAGCCTGCAACCTAAGGATGTGCCCTGACTGGGTATCAAACCATGACCTGGTTCATAGGTCAACGCTCAACCATAGAGCCACACTGGCTGGGCAAGTTTTAGTTTTGATACATACTGTAATATGCTTCCAAGAAGCCAGCCCAATAGTGATCGGAGCCTGCAATGCTTTTGTTGAAATTGATTCATATCTAGATAATATCAAACTTCTTGGTGGGCACATTTATTGCACTTCATTGTTCTTTTACCAAGTCTGCCGCTTTCTGAATTGTTCCATTAACTTGCACTGGAATAAATATGGGGTTGCACTGAAAAGTGTGATCATTATTCCAAGAGCTGACTGGCTAAGGCTTCATGCTCTCAGCATGCAGCTAGAAGTCCTAATCCTGAAAACTCCACACGATTTTTTCAAACATAATTCCCTAAGGACAAGACATCTGTGGCTATTGTTGAAGAAAAAATCCCGTACCTGTGGTGGAGTTGGGAAGCCGTTTTTTTGTACTTCCAATAGATATTCTCTGTTGTAGGGCATCAAAAAAAGACTGAGGAATGTGGAACACCAGTGGCTCTGGTTTGCCTTTAGGAAATAAGAAGAAACTCATTCAGTTCAAATAGATCAAATTTTTATGCCAGAAATTTGAGAGCTCCTAGTTGGAGGCACAGTTACTTCAACTAAAAGTGTAATGTTAAGCCCTAACTGGTTTGGCTCAGTGGATAGAGCGTCGGCCGGTGGACTCAAGGATCCCAGGTTCGATTCCGGTCAAGGGCATGTACCTTGGTTGGGGGCACATACCCATTGGGGAGTGTGTGGGAGGCAGCTGATCGATGTTTCTCTCTCATGATGTTTCTAACTCTATCCCTCTCCCTATATGTAAAAAAAAATCAATAAAATATATATATATAAAAAAAAAGACTTAAAAAAAAGTGTAATGTTGAAACTGTGTTCATTTGCACTCTGCAATGGCTAGGCTTATGAAAGTATGTGGCAGCTTTGGTCAATGAATTAATGTTATAAGGAATTATCTATGTTGTCACAGTATTTAAATCATAATGTCACTTCAGAGGTCAGTTCTGTAGGATTTTTTTTATAACTATGTTTTTATTGACTTTAGAGAGAAAGGAAGGGAGAAGGATAGAGATAAAACCATCGATGAGAGACATCAATTGGCTGCCTCCTGCACACCCCCTACTGGAGATTGAGCCTGCAATCCAGGCATGTGCCCTGACTAGGAATATAACAGGGGACCTTTTGGTTCAGGGTCGACACTCAACCACTGAGCCACACTGGCCAGGCAGTTCTGTAGGATTTTTTTTTTTTAATGTATATTCTGGGTAGTTTTGATTGGTAAAAAAATGTAATTGTGATTTAAATACTACATAGTGTTGGGATATTTTTTTACATGCACAGGCTTTATGAGCCAATAAAACTATTTCAAAGTTAAAAAATAAACCGGTGGACACAAGACACTAGGGGGTAGGGGCCAGGGGAATGTCAAGGGGGGGAAAAAGGAGACATATGTAATACTCTTTGTAATACTTCAAGCAATAAAAATTATTTAAAAAAAAAAAGTTAAAAAAAAGAAGAAACTCATATAAAGTGCAACAAAGGAAAAAAAAACTTAGTGACCTTCTGATGTGTAGAGAGAGGTGGAAGAAATGGAATTGAAGGACAGTAATAATTAAAAATTTCACTTTATAAAGAGATTTCTTTATAAAATGGCAAAAATAAGGCTTTGGTTGGCCTTTATGAGTCAAGCATTGTCACCTTCCCTACTGTTGATCCCTTGAAATCATAAAAAAATATAGCAGATCCTTGTCATCAATACCACCAAGGATAACTTTTCAAATCCCCAATTTTGTAACCACCACCACAACACAAACTTTTCCTTGAAAGGTATATGAAATAAGAAGAGATGAGAACAATGAGGCTGAGATGAGAAGGCAAACTTGATTTACTCCTGCTCTCTCCAAGCACTTGTATGTGCATTCATGTCTAAACAGAGTAACTACATGCCCTCTCTCAGATGTTCAGGACCCGGAATGCCAGAGACCACAAAATTAGGAGACTATTTATCCAATAAACACCAGTCTTGCTCTCTGAATATGATCTAAAGGCAGGAAAAATGTTTGAAAATACTTAACAAACCTTTAAAGAAGCTTACAAGACACTAGGTCAACAAAAGTCAATAGAGTGTTCAAAGGAGGGGTTGAAAGAGTTCTGAGTCTTTCTTAAAAAACTGTGTCCAAGGGGCTACCTAGCCCCAGCAGAGGGAAAACATCCAGAACCACGTGGATAAACAAACAACTTAAAGAATATCTCTTACAGAAAGACTCTTTTTTAAAAAAATATATGTTTATTGATTTCAGAGAGGAAGGGAGAGGGAGAGATAGAAACATCAATGATGAGAGAGAATCATTGATCAGCTGCCTCCTGCACGCCCCCTACTGGGGATCGAGCCCACAACCCAGGCATGTACCCTTGACTGGAATTGAACCCAGGACCCTCAGTCCACAGGCCAATGCTTTATCCATTGAGCCAAACCAGCTAGGGCCAGAAAGACTCTTAAGGACAGTTCAGATGCCTTTTTGGAACAAAGGTCAAGCTAACACCATCAAAGATCATACCCCCAAGATCAAAGCTATCCACCTTTACTTATTATTTGCTGTTTTCCTCTTCCATTTCTAAATTCATTTTGCTGATACTGCATTTAAATTATGTAAGTATTTCCTTCTTTCACTTAGATTTCTACTTTTTGTGGCCCAGTGTATTTGGGAGTCAAGCCCAGTTATTTTTTCTATCAGAACAGAGAACTCACCCTAGCCAGTTTGGCTCAGTGGATAGAGCATTGGCCTGCAGACTGAAGGGTCCCAGGTTCGATTCCAGACAAGGGCATATTCCCAGGTTGCAGGCTCAATCCCAAGAAAGGGGCATGCAGGAGGCAGTTGATCAATGATTCTCTCTCATCATTGACATTTCTCTCTCCCTCTCCCTTTCTCTCTGAAATCAATAAAAATATATTAAAACAAACAAACAAACAAACAAAAAACAACAACACAGGGAACTCTAGTCCAGCCAGTGTGGCTCAGTGGTTGAGTGTTGACCCTTGAACTATGAGGTCAAGATTTGATTCCCGATTAGGGCATGTGCCCCAGTTGCAGGCTTGATCCCCAGTAGGGGGCATGCAGGGGGCAGCTGATCAATGATTCTCTCTCATCACTGATTTTTCTATCTATATCTTCTCCCTTCCTCTCTCTAAAATCAATAAAAATATTTAAAAAACAAAACAAACAAAAAGACAACAGAGAACTCTAGCACAATTACTTTAATTGATCCTAGTTTCAGCAACAGCCCCAGCTGGGTGACCAATACTTACCATCAAATTGATAGTGCATGGTTTGATGGATGCGTTCTGTGACACTGGCCAGCCAGTCTTGGAAGGATAAGGTCACTTGTGCCTCATCTAACAGCTGACTGCAGGCTGGTAAAAACAAAAAACAATGTCTTAGTAACTTATTTTTTCTTACAAAAGAAACAGTTAATTGAAGTTTGAAAAAGTTAAAGTGTTTGCACAGATAAAAAAAGAACAAGAAGCTGAAATTCAAAGAAATTAAAATAGAAGATTCTAGATTTTTTCCCCCCAAAGAATCCATTTAGGAAAAAAGAAATGAAAAGCTCTGAGATACTAATAGGGTCAAGATTAGTAACCACAGAAAGTTTGCAGCCTTTCAACACTAAACTGCAAAGTGAAGAATGGCCTTGTATAATGGCTTTTAGAGATCTATAAATTAGTCCTTTTTCTGATTAACATGTCCATATGCACAGAAATATTCTATTCTATTCTATTTCTTCTCCTGAAATGTCTTCACATTTCTAAAGTATAGCTTCTTTTATAGAGATATACCAATGCCATAACTACTATCCATTTGAAATTAAAATTCTCACTGGTAAATGCATATAGTGATAATTTAGATTAAAAGCTATTTCCTTTCTTCTTTGTGCCAAAAGGAAGTGATGAAAATTTGTAGAAAACCTTCTACCTCATACAGTTGATCTGTTTATTTACTGACCTTCCAAAGACATTTGTTCCTGGGATGTGTAAGTTCTTAATTATTGGTCTTATATTATCTTTATGTATTGGTCTTCAAAATCAGAGTATGAGGGCAGGGATGTTATCTAGTTTTTAATCACCCAGTCATATTACATGGCCAACAATATCTTAGCAAGTATTCAAAAAATACTACCAAAATTGAACTAAACTATTTTTATAAAATGTGTAAGTAGAAGTTTATAAACGGTTGATTCCCCAAATAGCTGTGCTTAATTATTCTCATTAGAAAAGATATATATGTGTATATATAAATATGTGTTATGTTCAAATTTAGTTATTCTGTCTTCATAAATTCAGAACAATAGCTATGCTATTGTTTTTAGGTATGTTTTCAAACTTCACTAACTGTAGAGAACAGACTATATTATTTTTTTTTCAATAAATATTTATCACTGAATAACTATAAACATGTTTCTTTTTCAACTTTGGCTGCCCTAGCTGGTTTGGCTCAGTGGATAGAGCATCAGCCTGCTGACTGAAGGGCCCCAGGTTTGATTCCGGTCAGGGGCAAATGCCTAGGTTGAGGGCTCAGTCCCCAGTAGGAGGCGTGCAGGAGGCAGCCGATCAATGATTCTCTCTTATTATTGATGTTTCTATCTCTCTCTCTCCCTCTCCCTTCCTCTCCGAAATCAATAAACATAAAAAAAAAAACAAAAAACCAACAACAACTACTTTAAATCTCCATACTAAGTGTATGTGGCTAATAAGCAAGAGGGAAAAATCTTACAAAATACCTCTACCAAAACATGTCAGTAATTTTTGTTGGATTTGTTACTTAAACAATACAATTTGTTGTTGTTTTTTCATTTATTTTTATTGATTTCAGAGAGGGAGAGAGAGACAGAAACATCAATGATGAGAAAGAATCAATGACTGGCTGCCTCCTGCACGCCCCTTATTAGGGATGAAGCCCCCAACCCAGGCATGTGCCCTGACCAACAATCAATCTGTATCTTGGTTCATAGTTCGATGCTTAACCATTGAGCAGCACTGGCTGGACTACAATTTGGTTTTGAGCAAGATTTGAGACCCGTGGGACAGGACAGACTTCAGTCTTAGTGCCTACTAGTGTTTATCTTAACATTCCTTTGGGGACACCATGCAATGTTTCTTTGGATTTATTGCTTTTACCTTCTTTCGGATGCTTTCCCACCTTTTTAGCTTATTCTGGGACAGGGAAACTTACCCTGCCTTTTTAATGAAGAAGCAACCACAGGCTTTTTCAGGCCACTTTTCCTTAGATTACTGCTCAGTGCATCCTGAGGCAACAGTGAACTGTTCGTCTGTGCACCTAAACCATAAATCATTACAGTGTTTAATAACATGCCTATAGAATATAAATAGATTCTATATTCATTTCTAAAGAGTGTAAAACATAAAAAGTCTTCAATAATTTCTAAGTTAGCTTTGATAATTTCTAACTTAGGATTAGCCTTTATATATAATATTTTAAATTTCTGAAAATCTAGGAAAGTGGGGAAAACCAGAAGTGAAAGAGAAAAAAATTTCACCCATTGTTTCTACCTCTTAGACAATTACTATTGATTTTCTGGTGAACTATCTTCCTTTCTTTTCCCTATGAATAGATTATTTTGCTGGTTTTTGTGATTTTATGTAGCTGTGATTTTACCAGGACTGCTAGATTTAGCCAAAAAATAAATAAATAAAATTTCAAATAGCCCTAACCGGTTTGGCTCAGTGGATAGAGCGTCAGCCTGCAGACTCAAGGGTCCCAGGTTCGATTCCGGTCAAGGGCATATACCTTGGTTGTGGGCACATCCCCAGTAGTGAGTGTGCATGAGCCAGCTGATTGATGTTTCTCTCTCATAGATGTTTCTAACTCTCTATCTCTCTCCCTTCCTCTCTGTAAAAAAAATCAATAAAATATTTTTTTTAAAAAAAATTCAAATAAATGAATTTTTAACATAAGTATGCCCCAATTTTGCATGGGAGATAATTATATTAAAAATTTTTTCATTGTTTATCTGAAAGTCAAGTTTGAGCATTCTGTACTTTGTCTGGCTACCTGAGTGACCTAAAAATGTCTCCAAATTCTATGTAATCATTTTTAGTGGTTGCCTGATATTCTAGCAAGTGGTTTTATCATGGTTAGTTTAACGATCCCCAGTATTGGGCTTAATTGTTTCTAATTTTTTAATATTATAAACTAGAGGCCTGCATGGGTGGGGTCCCTCGGCCTGGCCGGCAATCGGGCCGATCGGGGCAGTCTCGCACAGTCTCGACAAGGCCAGCCGGAAGGGAGGGACCGTAGGAGTTTAGCCAGATGCGGGAGGTTGGCTGTGGGAGCACACTGACCACCAGGGGGAAGCTCCTGCGTTGAGCGTCTGCCCCCTGGTGGTCAGTGGGTGTCATAGCAACCAGCGGTCACCCCGTTCCTAAAGGTCACTTAGGCTTTTATATATATAGATAACGATAAAATGAACATTTCTCGATAAAATGCTTTTCCTGTACCAAGGATTATTTCCTTAAAAATGATTATTTAGAAGTGGGCTATGCATCAAAGGGAAAGAACTTTACTGTTTGAATTTCAAGATTTCCTGGGAAAGACCAATAAGTAAATATTTAACAACAATCTCTGCTACACACTGCTGCCAGAATTACCTTACAGCATGAAAGTGATCATGTCACTTTGTTTCTCTACCTTTCTCCAACTTCCCAGCACTAAAACTCCTGTGCATAATCACCTGACCCACCTTTAGCAATTATCCCTATGAGTAGTAGTATTTTTCAGGTTCTTAACAGATAATCATGGCAATTTACACTGCACTAGCCATGCCAGAGAGCCTGAACTTCACCTCTTTTACCTGTGGTCTCATAATTTTAAAAATCTTAGTTAATTTGGTAGCAAAAAGTATCTTATTTTAACTTTTGTATTTCTAAAATTTTTGCATTTCTCTGTTCACATTTGGAGTTTTGTCCACATTTGTGGACCAGGTAAATTTTTCTCTTTATTTAAAGTCTATGTCTTTTGACACTTATCTACTAGGGTACTTCAGCAGTTTCATATTGATTTGTAAGGGTCCTTAACTGACAGTGGTATTATTACTTGTTATTTGCAAGTAACAAACTATATTCCTATGTTAATGTAGAAAAGATAATGAATTATTGTCACAAGTTTTTAAAAACATTCTATGGATGAAAACCTTATAACACTGTCCAAAGGCAGTTTAAGGTTTAAGACTAGTCTGAATGTTTAAGGGATGAACAAACATATTCAATAATAAGAGCTGAGTTTGGTTTGATCTTTTATTTAATCAGTAAAACCAACTCTTAGCTTGACTGGACAAAGAATTATCACTGGACGGTATAATTTTTTCAGGAAAAGAAACACATAAAAACTGATTCTTATCATTGCTGAAATCCAGTGAAACACATAAAACAATCTCTAAAGATAAAACCATCCTATAAACAAACCAAATAGCTTCTTACCAGATACTTCATCCTTTTTCCTCTTCTTTGCCTTCGATGGAGTAGACTCACAAGCTGATACTGTGGATTCTGAATGGCAGTCCAACTGGGGCACAATAATCTCTTTAAGACCTAAAATATAACATATTTCTGAATTATTAATACTACCCAGGAGGAAGTATGGGTCTCTACTTAGAGAAAAATTAACTTATAAAAATCCAAATCCCCAAACAATGGAGTGATTGCCTACATTAAAAAAGTTCCTTTGAAGTGCAAATCAAAATGATGACATGTCACCTCACACCTGTTCGAATGGCTGTTATCAATAAGACAAGAAATAACAAGTATTGGAGAGCATGTGGAGAAAAAGGAACCCTCATACACTGCTGGTGAGAATGAAAACTGACACAGTCACAGTGGAAAACAGTATATAGATTCCTCAAGAAATTAATAGAGCTACCATCTGACCCATCAAGCCTTCTTCTGGGTACCTACCCAAATAATTTAAAAACAGTTATTCATAAAGATATATGTACCCATATGTTCATTGCAGCATTATTCATGGTAGCCAAGACATGAAACAACATAAGTGTCCTTCAATGGATGATTGGATAAAGATGATACAGTACATATGTACAACGGAATACTACTCAGCCATAAGAACGATTAAAGTACTGACATTTGTAACAACATGGACGGATCTTGAGAATATCGTGTTAACAAAATAAGTAAGATGGAAAAGGACAAAAAGCATATGATTTCACTCATATGTGGAATATAAAAAAGCAACAAACAAACAAAAACAAATTCATAGACACAGACAACAGTTTGAAGGTTAACAGAAGGTAAAGGGGTAAGAGGGGGATGAAGAGGGTAAATGGAGTCAAATACAGGGTGTCCCAAAAAATGTATACACTTTGAATAATTATTAATTCCAATAGGTTAAATCTGAAAAGAAATAAACATCAATTGAGCTAACAGCCATTAAAGGTGTATACATTTTGGGTGAACACCCTATATTTGGGAGACAACTCTAAGGGTGGTGAGCACACAATGCAAAATACAGATGATGTATTATAAAATTGTATATTTGAAACTTATACAATGTTATTAACCAATGTCACCCCGATATATTTAAAAAACAGATTGTGGACCTGCGATAAAAAACAAGTTCTTTTAAAGGGCAGCCCAAAACATGATTTTATTCATAGAACATTAACTTGATTGGAGGCTTTACAGAGAAATATAAACCTAAAAAGTTGGGAGCTGCTACCAACTAAAGATTATTAAGAAATGAAAAGAGCCCTAACTGGTTTGGCTCAATGGATAGAGCGTCTCTCTGTGGACTGAAGGGTCCCAGGTTCGATTCCAGTCAAGGGCATGTACCTTGGTTGCGGGCACATCCCCAGTTGGGGGTGTGCAGGAGGCAGCTGATTGATGTTCCTCTCTCATCGATGTTTCTAACTCTCTATCCCTCTCCCTTCCTCTCTATAAAAAAATCAATAAAATATATTAAAAAAAAAAAAAAAAAGAAGAGCGCTGGCCGGGGTGGTTCAGTTGGTTGGAGGGTCGTCCCATGCACAGGAAGGTAGCTGGTTTGATCCCTAGTCAGGGAGCATAGGAGGCAACCAATAGATGTATCTTCTCCCATTAATGTTTCTCTCTCTCACTTCCTCTCTTAAAAAAATAATCAATAAAAATATGTTAACAACAACAAAAGACTTGATTTAGAAACTTTAAAGGTTTTCTTTTAAACCAGGTACTTGTTTTCTCCATCTTCAAAGACATTAAAAAAGCAAACAAGCCAAAATAAAAGGGATTTTTTTGTTCTATGTTTTTATTAAATAGGGTATCTGTGGAAGAGTAAAAAAAATCAAAGCAAAGCTGATTTTACTAGATTCATTGTCTCAATGAAAATGTTCAAGTCCCTTGATCATTAATTTCAACCAACCAAACAACCTTTATGCAAGTGATGACTGGGATTAAAAGAAGGAATGCTTTTCATTTGAATTATCTAGCAACTGCTTCTGAAGGTCGCTAGGACAATCTCCAAATGCCATTAGTGGAACACTTTCATTGTCATTTCAGAAAAACAGAGTGTGTCACCATACCACCTACCGCTGGAATCAAAATTTAGGAAGTCTGAGAATTCCTGAGCCAATGTCTCATCACTGGCAAAGGCACAGATGCAAGCAAAGAAATGAATGCATCTCTGTGCTGCCTCATCCTTGGAGGCATTCGACTTGTGCGACTTCAGAGTCTGGCAGGAACAGAAGAAACGGCGTTCAGGCAAGCTTTTGGCACTGATTTTCTGCACAAAGGACGTATGCAAGTACCCCAAACTATGCTTCTGGCTCGCCTTGCATTTCACCACCAAAATGTTTTTAGTAATTCTCTGTACGAGCGGACCCGTGGGCTCTGTGGCCAACTGCCAGATGGTTTGCTTGGTTTCTGAGGAGGCCTGCATTGCATTCAGGACGGAGCTCTTTAGAGTCAGAGGGGTGGCCTCTGCCTGACAGTTTATTGCCAACTTGATGTGCTGGCACTGGTTTTCCACAACACCCTGGGTGGCGGCTTTCAGGCAGGAGGGGACATAACATCGTCCAGAGCTCAGCTGAGTGATGATCGTCCCATCTACCGTTTGGATTGTCGTCTCTGAAACACCTAGCTCTACAAAGCATCTGTAGTCGGGGCCCCGGTCTCTTTGCCGCACTGAGTAGACCTGCAGGTCAGAGCCTGTTATGATTTTGACAGCTTCAACACTCGGCTGCTTCCGTGCACCATAGCGGAATATGGTTCCACATGTCTTGTTTTTACAGCTCAGTCCCCGGGTTCCATTGTATGTGCCGCATCGGGGACACTTTCTTATTCCCCTCAATGTGGCCTTCCCCAAATCAGATAAGAAAGATGGGACTTTAGTCCTCAGAGAGTTTGGTTCCATTTTTCATAGGCCCCTAGAAAAAGCAATAAGCCCATCAGCATGAGTATACATACACACACACAGAGTTAAAATCACTTATGATATTTAATACAGAAAGTGAAACATAAAGAAGCTACCAGGTGCTCTCCTTCCTTGGAATACACCAGGGCCTTTTTCTTTCCCTCTACCCTCCCCCTTTCCTTTCCCCCACTTCCTCCCTGCCCCAGACAGGTTACCATTAGCCTCCTCACTCTCAAGCTCCAAGGGCCCATCCTTTACCTCTATAACTTGCTTCCTACGCTCATTTCTTCTAGGAATTACTTCTTCTACATCTGTGATTTACCAAGTAAATGTTCTCTTACTAAAAAAAGAAGCTATCCACTATTTTCAAATTGTACCCTCAAACACAACATCAATTTAAACCCTCAAACAGCCCTAGCCGGTTTGGCCGAGTGGATAGAGCACTGGCCTGCGGACTGAAAAGTTCTGGGTTCGATTCCAGTCCAGGGCACAGGGGTGGGTTGCAGGTTTGATCCCAGTAGGGGGCATGCAGGAGGCAGCCGATCAATGACTCTCTCTCATCATTGATGTTTCTATCTCTCTCTCCCTCTTCACTCCTCTCTGAAATAAAAATATATTTAAAATAAATAAACCCTCAAACGAAATAAAAGTGGAGATCTCTATATAGTTTTAAAAACCAAATGTAATAATTAAAGCATTTCTTTAGGTTCAATCCTGTTTTATAAAACAACCTAGATTAGTTAACCTAATCTGTACATGCACAGATATTTAACTTAAGCAAGGACTGGAGAATGGAAAAGGTTAGTTCTTTCCCTTCCACTGTTCCACACAACGCCCAGTCCAATCTTACCTGTTTCAGCTGCCAGAGCATCCGGAAAACAGTGTGACCTAAATTCAAAAGACCTAAAAAGGTGTTTCATTAGTTTGTGATAGTCATAGAGGACAAGCGAAGACATAATCATTTACAGAGTAAATGTTACTGCTTAACCCAAAGTCTTCTGAAGTTTGAACTCCAGAGTATAACAATGCAGACATTCGGCATCCTCCAGCCCGGTGTTTCACAAAGATTCCCTCTGCCTTATGTGGAGATCTTGGCAGTCTATAAATAAAACAAGAAAAAATACTAAAGTTATGCAAAGACAGAATGATTTTTTCCTTCAGAATGGGAATCTAAGTCTTTCACAAATATTTGAAAAATATTTGACAGAAATTGTTATAGAAATGATTGCTTTGTACTTCCAACTGCAAGAAAAGAGTGTGAATGGCACTACACAGGGAGTTGTCAAGAACACCTAGACCAAATCTAATTAAGAACTCACACATCCCAGGAACAAATGTCTTTGGAAAGTCAGTAAATAAACAGATCAACTGTATCAGGTAGAAGGTTTTCTACAAATTTTCATCACTTTCTTTTGGCACAAATAAGAAAGGAAATAGCTTTTAATCTAAATTATCACTATATGCATTTACCAATGAGAATTTTAATTTGAAATGGATAGTAGTTATGGCATTGGTATCTTATCTAATAAAGAGGGAATATGCTAATTGACCCTCACACCATTGCAATGATGGCGGCACCCACAGCCAATAAGGAGGGAATATCCTAATTGACGGCCCTGCCCTCAAAGATGGCAGCGCCCACAGCCAACAAGGCAGGAATATGCCAATTGACTGTCACGCCCTCAAAGATGGTGGCGCCCACAGCCACAAGATGGCGGTGCCCAGTCTCCTCAGCCCCCCAACTGCCCATGGCCAGCCTGACACTGGGGATCAAGCCCACAACCAGGGCATGTGCCTTTGACTGGAATCAAAGCCAGAACCCTTTAGTCTGAAGCTCTATCCACTGAGCCAAACCAGCTAGGGCAAAAATACCTCTTTATTGAGGTATATTTTACATACCATAAAGTTCACCCATTTAAGTGTAGAATTCAGTGATATTTATGAAATTTATAGATTGGACACCCTTCACTACAATCCAGTCTTAGAACACTCCCCGAAAAGATCCCTTGTGCTGTTTGCAGTAATGATTCCCACCCCCAGGAAATCACTAATCTGCTGTCTCTATAGATTTACCTTTTTTAAACATTTCATTTAGAAGGAATCATAGAATATGTGGCTTTTTAAAGTCTGGCTTCTTTCACTAAATATAATGTTTTCAAGATTCCACCACATTGTAGCATGCATCCATACTTCATTCCTTTATATTGCTGAATAGTAGTCCATGGTATAGATATATCATTTTGTTTATCCATTCACCAGCTGACAGATATTTGGATTGTTTCCAATTTTTTACAATTATGAACACTGCTGCTGAGAAAATAAACATGCAAGTCTTTGTGAAGACAAATGACTTCATTTCTCTTGGGTAGATACCTAGAAGTGGAATTGCTGGATCATATGATAAGTTTCTGTTTAATGTTGTAAGAAACTGCCAAACTGGCTGTATCATTTTACATTTACACAGGCAACATATTAGAGTTCCTGTTTCTCCACTTCCTGGCCAATCAATACATGTTACTGTCTTCTCATAGCCATTTGATTATAGTATGTTGAAGTGGCATCTCACTAATGTTTCACATGCTCATTTAACCATGTGTCTATCTCATTGGGGGGAAATCTATTCAAATACTTTATTTAAGAAAACCCCAAATATTTTATCCATTTTAAAACTAAAACTGATATTTGATTACATAAAAATGAAAATTTTCTGCATGTCAAAAATTACTATAAACAAAGTCCAAAGATGAAAACAAAATGAGCAACAAAAGCAGTGCGAGACTTGTACACTAAAAACTACAAAACACCATTGAAGGAAATTAAAGACCTAAAAAAAATGGAAAAACATCCCAGGTTCATGGACCAGAAGACTTAATATTGTTAAGATGACACTACTCCCCAAATTGATCTACAGATACCATGTAATCCCTGTCAAAATCACATATACTCCCACTTGCCCCCAGAAATTAACAAGATGATCCTAAAATTCATATGAAAATACAAGGGATCTGGAAGAGCCGGAATAATCTTGAGAAAGAATAAAGTAGGACTCACACTTCCTGATTTCAAAACTTACTACAAAGCAAATTAAGACAATGTGGACAGAGAAGGATAAATACTGTATATCACTTCTATATAAAATCTAAAAATGTCGAACTCATAGAAAGAGAGAATGGAATGGTGGTTTCCAGGGGCTGAGGAGTGGGAAAAATTGAGAAATATCGGTCAAAGGGTAAAAACTTCCAGTTATGATTAAGTTCTGGAGATCTAATATATATCATGGTGATTAGTTAATAAGACTGTATTATATACTTGAAAGTTGCTGAGATCTTAAATGTCCTCATCACAAAAAAAGAAATGGCAATTATGTGATGTGATGGAGCTGTTAGCTAAGGCGATGAAGGTAATCAGTTTGCCTGTGCTATTCCCTTCCCCCTGTGCTTCCCCCGCAGGTGTGCATCTCCTAAACTCTAAGGGACCCCACAAGTTTTGCAACCAAGGGAGCAATGGGCAGCAACAGCTCAGCTTGCCCGGGCTAACCCCCTGAACCTGTCTCCAAGACCCCTTTTCTCTGACTTCCCAGTGAGCTAAGGCGGCCCAAGCTAGACTCTCCTGCTACTTCTTCTATGCTAAGCCCTTCCTTGTTTCACTGTCCCCGGGACTCGTCCTATGAAATCTTTCCTACGCAAAGTCAAGAATACACACTACTGGCTGGCCTTGGCAGACACGCTCAGGACCAGGCCCCCTCTCCGGTAACAGAAGGGAGAGTTACATCTCACCATTTTCTAATATTTGGATTTTAAACATGTACTAGTATCACTTATTACAGATTCTTTTATTTTTAAATATATTTTATTGATTTTTTACAGAGAGGAAAGGAGAGGGATAGAGAGTCAGAAACAACGATGAGAGAGAAACATCGATCAGCTGCCTCCTGCACACTCCCTACTGGGGATGTGCCTGCAAGCAAGGTACATGCCCTTGGCCAGAATCGAACCTGTGGGACCCTTGAGTCCGCAGGCCGACACTCTATTCACTGAGCCAAACCGGTTAGGGCTCAGATTCTTTTTTTTTTTTTTTAATATTTTATTGATTTTTTACAGAGAAGGGAGAGAGAATAGAGAGTTAGAAACATCGATCAGCTGCCTCCTGCACACCCCCCACTGGGGATGTGCCCGCAACAAAGGTACATGCCCTTGACGTGAATCGAACCTGGGACCCTTCAGTCTGCAGGCTGATGCTCTATCCACTGAGCCAAACCGGTTAGGGCGCACATTCTATATTGAAAGCATATACAAACAAGTGAACACAGCTTGTAAAGAACCTGCATTTTGAATCCTGCCTATAAAGGGGCGTCTCAGCAAGCGGGTGTAAAGGGAGCAGTGCTAACCCATAAATGCTCCCTAGAAGGCGGGTTGCCATTCAATTACTATTTGGCTGTAGAGCTATCCCTCTTGGTGGATGCTATTTAATGTTTGTGAAGCACACTAAGTGAACAGAACTAATGATCACCGTGAGTAAAACATAAAACTTACTAATGTTTACTAAATACAAGTAGCCCTTCCCATGCATTTTACTCATGTATTTCTCACCACTGTGGATGAAAAAGGAGCCACACACTAAAGCTGACAGGCTCAGGGGAGGCCGCAGGCCTTACAAACTCAGACACCTACAGTAACCACAAAGGATGGTCTGAAATTTGAAATTCCTAACTAAAAGTGAGTCATGGCTGTAATCATGTCCTAGGCCAATATCTTCCTTTAAAAAAAAAAAATATATATATATATATTTTTATTGATTTCAGAGAGGAAGGGAGAGGGACAGAGAGACATCAATGATGAGAATCACTGATCGGCTGCCTCTTGCACGCCCCCTACTGGGGATCGAACCCACAACCCAAGCATGTGCCCTTGACGGGGATCAAACCCTGGACCCTTCAGTCCCCAGGAGGATGCTCTATCCATTGAGCCAAACCAGCTAGGGCCAGTATCTTCCTTGACAAAAGGTCAATCTTTACCTTAACTGAGCATATTGTGAGTTTTTGTGTGTTTTTTTGTTTTTGTTTTTTTTGCATCTACCAATAACATACTTTTAAAATGTCAGGGCAATTTCCTTTTCACAAAACCCCTCGGGGCATAATTCTCCCACCAGAGCAGGAGACCCCAGAGCCTCTCGTTACAATTATCATGTTAACTGTTAACTATCCGGTACAAACGTGTGTAAAAGTAGTAGGTTGTCTATTTATCCAATCCCAGAGATTTCCCAACTTTGCTTTCTTCCACCTCGCTAATCTATCAACAATGAATTTCATGTATCCCTTACATCTTCCCCTTTGACGTTCATGTATAATAAAATAAAGTGCGAAACTGCCCTTCTCCGGAGCATTTTCTCAACCCGTTGAGGTTCTGCTTCCTGGAAACTGGCTCCAATAAACCCATACAAATCCTTCCAGATGTGGATGTTTCTTTCATCAACACCATAATCCTGTGAAGCAGGTACTAACGCACTCATCTTGAGAGAGGAAGACACTGACTCGGAGACAGTAACGCTGTGATGAAGGTCTCACAGTCAGCCATCATAGCCTAACGTGATTCTGGAATCTGGTGGATTCCTTGAAAAAACACAAATGAGAGGAAGGGGCAGGCCCAGAAGCCAGAACTCCGACTCAGGGTCCGAGGGGCTTCTATGAGCCCTCGCGGCGTGGAAGGCCGCAGAAAGGCCCAGGGAGAAACGCAGAGTCGTGTCTGGGAAAGGGGCGGCCTAGACTCTACCTCCCTCCTGGATTCCGGGACCCAGCCCGCCCCCTACGGGACCACCCAGAGCCAGTTTCCCGGCATCCTCCCCCCGCGAGGGCTCACTTCCGGTTCTAAGTCGGCCCAAGCAGAAGCAACACCGGGCTCGCGCCCTGCTCCTTGGACACGCTCTCCGTTGGGATTCTGGGCTCTACACCCGTTCCACCGCCGCCCCCGCCTTCTGTCCACGCGGCCCCCTTACCTGCCCTGTGCCCCCACCCCCCACCTCGCGGCCCCAAGGCCCCCAGCTGATGACCGCCCTCACCTCCTCTCTCTTCGCCTGCCGCGGTCTTTTACAAACGCGGCCAAACTGTTCGCTGTAACGACAGTCGTTATTGGTCAGAGCCGCGCATGCGCGGTGAGTGCCCGCCCGCCTCGGTTCGCATTGTCTGATGGGAGTTGAAGTTTCCTCCTCCTGCCGGCTGCTGAGAATTGCTGCAGAATACGCCGTAGTTTCCTGAGATTCTTCACTGGGCCTGCAGTGTTTCTGGCCGACCCTCCGAGTTCGAAAGGCACTGTCAGCTCTAGGGCTGGTCTGGAGAGTCCTGTTTCTGAGTAGAGTTCCATTGGTAATGATGGAAAAAAATCGCCTTAGATTTTCTACGTTATTAGCAGATATCGGTTGCGTCTTACCGTTTTATCAAAGGAGGTCTTGTTCAACAAATTAATGCGTTCTATCACTTCTGTGTTTATAGTAAGCTATCTTTTTTCTCTCCCTTAACTATAGTCTGACATATTATTTTAACGTTTTCCCCTTATCATGAGTTTGAAATCGGCTTCCTACGTCCTAGTTCTGGTCCTTGGGGTCACAAAGAATAAGTATAAATGCTTTTTGTTCGTGAGTGAAGATAAATCCTGAGTGCAGTGTGTTAAGGGTGAGGCCAGTGTGTGTTGATTTCCTGAAACTTTGGCCTTGGTCTGGCTACTTTCTAGTGCTGGCGCTGTGGGCAGGTTGCCTGGGAAAATGGCCCTTTCCAGGAGGTAAAGGGAGAAAGGCACATTTTCTTCTTGAGATCATATTTTTTTAGTTATTCCCCCACGCTAGGAAATAATTTATTTTGTTTACATTTTCAAGTATAAGCATATTGGTACTGGTATTAACATTTTTTTCTTCTTTGTTTAAATTAATAAACTTTTTTAGAGCAGTTGTAGGTTCACATAAAAATTGAGCAGGGTGGCCGTAACCGGTTTGGCTCAGTGGATAGAGCGTCGGCCCAGGTTCGATTCCGGACTGAAAGGTCCCAGGTTCGATTCCGGTCAAGGGTATGTACCTTGGTTGCAGGCATATCCCCAGTGTGGGGTGTGCAGGAGGCAGCTGGTCGATGTGTCTCTCTCATCGATGTTTCTGACTTTCTATCCCTCTCCCTTCCTCTCTGTAAAAAATCAATAAAATATATTTTAAAAAAAAATTGAGCAGGGTGGGAGGGAGGGAGGTAGAAGAGGGTATGGGGGGAATAAATGGAGATGAAAAAAGTAATAAAATAAAATTGAACAGAAAGTACAGACAGTGCCCATCTACTCACTCCCTGTCCCTACACACTATTGACATCCTGCACTGCAGTGGTAAATTTGTTAACAATCGGTGAACTTACATTGAAACATCATTAACACCTAAAATCCATAATTTACACTAGGGTTCACTCTTGGTGGTGTATATTCTATAGGTTTTGACAAATGTAAATAACAGGTATTGACCATTGTAGTATACAGAATAGTTTCACTGCCTTAAAAGTCCTCTGTACTGCACTAACTGTTTTGGCTCAGTGGATAGAGCGTTGGCCTGCGGACTGAAAGGTCCCAGGTTCGATTCCGGTCAAGGGCATGTACCTTGGTTGCGAGCACATCCCAGTAGGGAGTGTGCAGGAGGCAGCTGGTCGATGTCTCTCATTGATGTTTCTAGCTCTCTATCCCTCTCCCTTCCTCTCTGTAAAAAATCAATAAAATATATTAAAAAAAAAAAGTCCTCTGTACTCTGCCTATTCATTCCTCACTTCCTCCTAACCCCCTGAAACCATTGGTACTTTTACTGTATCCATAATTTTACCATTTCCAGAAGGTTATATTATTGGTATTATAGAGTATGTAGTCTTTCAGATTGGCTTCTTTCATTTAGTAATATGCATTTAAATTTCCAACTTCTTTTTAAATCTTGGCTGTATCTATAGTGAAAACCCTCTTTTTGTTCCTAATTTTACGTGTGCTTTCTTTTTCCTGATCAGTTTCATCATGATGTTATATATTTTATTAATCTTTTCAAAAGAACAAACTTTTTGGCTTGTTTGAGCTAGTTTATTATATATTTGTTTTCAATTACATTAATATTTGCTCCCATTTCATTATTTCTTTCCTTATTATTCTTTTTCTAACTTCCTAAGCAGGAAACATAGCTCATTAATTTTATCCCTTCTTTTCTATTAGCATTAAGGTTATGCATTATTTTCAAAGTGCCATTTTACCAAAAATTTTGATATGTATTATTTTCATTCATTAACAGTTTTAAATATTTAAACATTTTTACTGTGGTCTTCTTTGGCTCATAAGCTTATACATGTGTTTTGGAATTTCTACAAATTTTTGTTATTGAATTTAAAAATTGATTTTAGAAATAGAGAAACATTGATTTTTTTGTTCCATTTATTAGTATTCATGCATTCATAGGTTGATTTTTTTTTTTTTTTTTTTAGAAAGAAGGGAGGGAGAGAATGAGAAACACTGATGTGAGAGAGAACCATCAATCAGAGAACCATCAATCAGTTGCCTCCTGTATGCACCCTGATCAGGGATCAAACCCACAACCTTTTGGTGTATGGGATGACACTCCAACCAACTGAGCCACCCTGCGAGGTTCCTGAAATATATGCTTTAAAAGTTTATTTAGTATTTGATTAATCATTGGTAAATTCTCTTGGCTTTATTTTTTTACTAGAGGCCTGGTACACAAATTTGTGCACAGGTGGGGTCCCTCTGGGTGGCTTGCAGGGATAGGGCCAAAACCCGCAGTCCAATGCCACCTGCAGCTCCCGCTCATTCCAGGCCCACTGTGCCTGCCATGGTCTTGTGCCCAATCAGTCCCCTTTGGGAGAGGCTTGC